AAGGAATAATCACACAAAACATTTCTTCCATGTTTTAATTTTAATAGTAAATCCCCTTTGTTTGCCAAAAAAAAATCTTGTTTGCTTAATTTTCAATAATTAAAAGATAAATGATAAATTAAATTAATGTTTTATGCCTTCATTTGATAACCAGAAAAATGTAAATATACAACAGAATTTCTGAGGGGAAAATAATTCATAAGGCTACTTTAAGGAAAAAAATGAATAAATTAAGTTGTTTTATGCATTCAAATAATTAGACATGCTAAAACACAGAATTTGGTAACAATAAAAAATATAAATAATATGATGAGAAAAAATAAAACATTTCATAGGGCCCTAAACATGTCATTTTTGTTCAACTTTTAATACATTGATGTGAAAATGTGTAAGTTTCATGATTTGAATTAATAAGACATGCTTTTTAATTAATACAATTTAATTTAACTATTAAAAAGGAGTCCAGAAAGATTTTAATGGAAAAAACGGAATTTGGAAAAAAATAAAATGGAATTTAGAAAAAAATAATACGGATTTCATAGGGCCCTAACTATCCCTCAGCCTTGCCGCGCCCCCCAGTTTGGGAACCACTGCTTTATTCTTTAAAATGCATACATTAATCGTGTTTATTATATATTTTTTTATTAAAGTGGAAATCAGTTTACTAAATAATGTAAACTTGACTGACTGCTTCACTTCCACTTTAAAGGGATATTTATGTTGTTTATTATTTATTTTTTTATATTTTTTGTGCAATTGCCTGTCAGTTGAGTTTGTGGCAAAACATTTTGCAGTGTTTACATGTTGTTTATTACTGCATAAAATGTATTAAAATAGATGTTTAATTTCATAAAGTACAAGCTGATTTCAAAATGCACCTACTTTTTTTGCATTTTGTGTTTTTTTTAGTTGAATAAAATACTATTTTTCCCTATATATTTAATCAAGTCTAAAAATCTCGTCTCGTCTCGTTCTCGTGAACCCAGTCTTGTGTCTCGTCTCGTCTCGTAGGATAAGCGTCTCGTCACACCCCTATTATATTTGTTTCATAGACTTTTATTCAAAAAAATACAAATAAATAAATAAACAAAATAAAAATAAAAAAGTGCTGCATGGTTAAAATCTTACATCACCAGTGTTTTAATTAATTTAATAAACAGTATTATGCACATCCTTATCATTGACAAAATTCAAAAACCTTTGTTAATAAATATTTTCATCTGAACTTGTTGATGTGATTAACACTGAAACAGACTGAAATGTAAGCGGTCATTGACTAAAAATGTAAAAAATATTGCCACATGATGCCATTTTTGAATCAGTGCAGAGGGCAAACTTTTCAGTGAATGACACTTTAAATCTTTCTATTTGCCACAGAAAGTTGTTGTTCGGCTTCTGAATGTTTGGGACACAAGTCACGACAAAAAAAGCACCTGTAAAATATCCTAAAAGTAGTCCATATTAGAGCTTGACAGGCAAAGTCTCCATTCACGTTCATTATATGGAAAAGAGTCAATCATTTTGAGATTTATGAATAAAAGAAATGAGTTTGGAATGACATATGGGTAAATAAATAAGATGGAAAACTTTTAAGCCATTATATGCTTAAATGGTGTGACTATAGTCGACGACTATTAGACTTGCCAGGAAATGCTTAATATGCTCCGGAGGAGACATGACACATGCAGTCATACGTTAGCACAAGCCTTTTATTCATCTCTGTGTATCTTGCTGAGGCACATCTGCAATTTTTTGGTGGTCCCACCCATTGGCCGCGGTTCTGAACCCCTCGGGCTGAGGTGGTCTTCTCTCCCCGTGCTCTCAGGGGCACTGCTGCTTCCTGCGGAGTCTGCTGAGGGGTGATAATGAGAGATTGTCAGAGGTGCTGGCCGCCGTGGCTGCGCTGTGATCGCTGGGTGCGGAGAGGCCAGGGCTCATTGAGCTCACCGCAGGGGGACCGTTGTCTCTGCTCTGCACTAGGCTGTGTGCTCGCGGATGACCCGCTTTTACACAGTTTGCAAGAGACTTCTCTACTGAAAACAAAGCTGCAGGCTGAGAGTAAAAAAAAAATAATGTGTGAGAAAGTGTTAGAGAGAGACAAACGGCAATGGAGGTAAGCAGAGTGGAGGAGAGATTCGGATAAAAACTGTAAGAAAAAAAACTATAACTTCACACTTCACAAGACTTAATCCAACCCACATCACACATATGTGCAGTTTACTTATTGTTATCTTTAAATTCAGGTCATGTAACGCAAACGATAGAGATGGATGGCAACATGTCATATGCTGGAGCATTACCAGATTTATCTTATTGGGGAAAATTAAGAGAAATTTTCGATGCATTTAAAAAAAATTGTTTTGTAAATTATTTTATTTAATTATAATAAAATAGGAAATAATAAATATTATTATTACATGTTTTAAATTACATATGTATGTATGATATAATGTAATTTAATATATAATGTATTTATATTATATAAAAAATTAATATAATAAAACAATATGAAAAAAGTGAAACGTGGTAAGCAGTTGGCACAAAAACAGTTCTGGTATTACAAATATATGTGGAAGTTACATTTGCACTTCCAGGACTGGTTTTTGCGCCAACTGCTTGCCAGCTTGTGCTTTTCCATTTCTTTTTAAATTATATTAATAATAAAAATCAATATACGCAGGTGAAACTTAAAAGTTGAACTTTTATTATGTATTATAATATATGATACATATTATGCATATGTATATTAAACTTTTATGTACATTTAAAAATCCAATTTGTCTTTTTAATTTAGCGTACAATTCCAGTTCATTCTGGCACATTCATAGAGAAGAAAAACAAACAGATTTTAAATGGTGTGCACCAAAGCATGAATTATACAGGGATCAAGCCGTTCATGATCAAACTTGAATTATATACATGATATACGAGTAGCTAAAGTCAGGTATGGACTTTTTATTTTGCAGTTCGAAGAGAAATCGAAGTCATCAGTATGTTACAAATTACAACCACTTTAAATGGTGTTTGGAGCGAGTCTTTACAGGCTGCCGTGTAACTACATTGTGAAAGTGGCATTTAAAGAAGCAGCAAGTCCATCGATCCACTGCTGTCGATCAACAAGACAAAAACTCGGACCAGCACTCACGACTGTTCATCCCAATACCTTCTTCCTGTTTCTCCTTAAGTAAACAGAGATTCTGCTTTCCAAATGTCTTTAGACCAAAGGTTGAAATTTACAGCTGAGGGGAAAAAAAAACAATGAACATCGAGATGCACATGCAAGGAATGCAAAGCCTTTTCTTTATAGTAAAGTAATCATTATCCTCTTCATAAAAAGTACAGCGATCTTGCAAAACACTTGAGATCTAGCACATGGCTTCGCATATGCACATTGTTCCCGCCTACGCAAAGCTGTTGTTTGAAGTCTTAATTAAGAGTGTCTTAGTCTTTGTCTTCTTTTTCTTCTTGTTTTTTTCCGTATCCTCCTGCTGACCAGCTGGCGGCTTTTTCCAGGGCAGGGCGTTGTAGGATGTGTATGCAGAAATCAAATACGTGGCCATCCCCGTGTATCCACCTATAATCAAACACAGCGGCTGAATCAGCACGAACAGGCAGAAGACATTGACCGAAGCGCTGTCGGGCAAATCCACACGGCCATCCTTGTTTGCCTGAAACACGGCAAAGAAATAGATCAGCGCCACAGCTGGGTAGAAAGCTAGGTCTACCATGGTGCCAACTCTTGAGAGCCGTCTCACTTATGACTGCGTCGCAGCCAGTAGGGGACGTGATATAATGACGGCACTTCCTTCGACCTTTCATCCGGCAACTGAGGTAAAACATTACCTTCTTGCCGAGATAACATGTGCAGGCATCTTATCAAAGACCGAAGTGCGAGTTCCTCACACAGAGAGTGACCTTTACTCTCTAATGGAGTTTGAGAAGGAGCCAACAGCCGCCTGCAGGGCTGCTAGTATTAGCATCAAATACATGAAAGGAGACAGCCGAGAGTCCCCAGCTTCCGACACATGCTTGGATTAGTCTAGTGCACTGTGCTTGGCAGAGATTAGGCCGTAGGTACGGACTGCTTTGAAAAAGTCCTCAACCACCTCTATTCTTTGCCAGGGACTGGAAAACAAACTGGTGGGTGGGAAAAAAAGATGTAAAAATTGATGTTGGTGGTGGAGATGTAATTTATTCATGAGTGTTTGCCAGCCGTTTTTCCAGCAGCTGATGGCCTTTTGAGCACCTGTGAGCTGATAGATTGTTATCTTAGACCCCTATTTAAAAGATGGCACTACAATAGATGTGATGTCACACGAATTCTGGCTTAGATGCCGAGCAGGATGGGAAGTATAAGCCTGTCTGTATTTGACCCCCTGGACCTTTTCGCACCCGTATTAATCATCTTATCAAGACCTTGCAAGGGTCTTCATTTGTATCTTAACCCTTCAATTCCCTCCATTTAATTGCACCCAAATAGGCCTATTTCTGGCTCCGTTGACACAATGTGAGAGAAACACAGTAATTAAAGCCCCAAATCACAGTGAATGGTGCAGTTTGGCTGACATAATGGAAAACATTATTTTTTCCTTTCTTTGTTCTCCATGGCAGCTTTGCCTTCCCATCTGGTGCGTTTACTGGTCCTGGTTACCAGTGCACCCTGGCATTGCCTTCAGATCAACTAAAGTGGTTTTGTTGGCACTGGGTGTTAATTAGTATTTGTCACAGGGTCAAAGTTGAATTCGGGAATACTCATTGCTGTGTTGTTGAAGGCATCACATGAGGCTCAATTAGACCTCAAAATCAGGAGCACATCTGTGCGTCCTCACATCCACCCACACGCCCATCCGGATGCCCGCTTGCTTTAACGTGGCCTTTACAATCATTACTCACTCGGTAGGGGAAGGGGAGGCGAGGGTGGTCGTGGTGCCAGTGTGAGGCTGTTTCCATGCCCATTGATCTCCAATGTGGCGCCTGCCTCTCACCCAGGAGCTTAAGACCACTCTACTTAAGTCGTCCAAGAAAAAGGAATGAAAACGATTGCTTTTGCTTTGAATAGACTTGCATCCTGGGGGAGAAAAAAATGTGGGTGCAAGGATTCAGCCACTACTCAGAGCAACAAATATAGCATGGCAGAACTTTGTGTGAATTTACTGCATTAGTACATTTATTTGTGTGCACTGATGTTTCTTGGAAATGGTTATTTGGTTCCGAAAAGTGCTGCTGCAGTCGGACTACTGAAAATAAGGTCCCACTTTATATTGTGGCCCTAATACCTATGTACTTACATAGTAACTAGATGTGTACATAGTATGTAACCACAGTGTAAGTACACATTGGTACATAGTATCTACAGCTGTAATGTTTGTGTAACTACACATATGTAACAACCCACTGAATGGTATGTGTAAATACAAATGTGTAACTGGACATTAGTAACAACACTTTTTTGGTAATGAAAGTAGAAATGTGTAACAGGACTAACAGCACTTTTTGGTAAAGAAAGTGTTACACTTTATATTAAGTAAACAATTCCTATGGATTTACCATGTAATTACTCTGATGTTACACAGCAGTGGCCAGTAAGTTAGGCTTTACATATAAATTGTGGTTGGTGTCCAGAATGTTACACTTTATATTAAGTGGACAGTTCCTGAGGAGTTACCATGTACTGTAAGTACACTGGTATTACAGTGGTGCACCAACTCCACCCACTTGAGACCCAACTCCTCCCACTTTACATATCCCTAAACCTACCCATCTCCGCCCCTTGGATCAAATTGTTCCAATTACTCTTATACATATTGTTGTTACAAAATGTAGTTATACATGTCCTGATACACATTTGTACTTACACAAATCATTCGGAGGGTTGTTACATGTGTGTAGTTACAGAAATATTACAGCTCTAGATACAATGTCCGTCCAAATAATGGCTAGTTTTTCTGTTGTTGAGCTGTTATTCAACACGTCTGCTGAAACATACTGAGCTTGTTCACTTTGGCTCTTGGGAGCTGTCCAGACATGGTGGTGCTGAATTGATACACATTCCTACAATTCTAGGTCAGAGCTTTGCATTTTTACACTAAAATAGTGTGAATTCATAATGAATCTTTTGATATTCGTTGGAAAAGTGATTTGATGCCTTTGATTACTAATGTAATAGTGCTGTATAATTTCTTAACATCCTGATGCATTAATCATGAAATGAAGAAGAAGAAGAAGAAGAAAACCTTGGTGTTTCTTTTTTACTTAAAAACAAGAATATAATTATTTAAAATCTCTCTCTCTCTCTCTCTCTCAAAATTTCGGATGTATTTTGGGAGAATTACACATCTGTCCTCTGCAACAGAGAATAGTGGTGAATATTACAGAGGTACCTCACCACTTTCATCAGCCTCAGTGGAGTGTTTGCATCAGATGGTGAATCTGCAATAGATTATAATATAATGTAGGATAGACTGAGGCGAACATTATGGAAACAGTATATCCAAGTTTGAGACACACACACACACACACACACACACAGACACACACACACAC